AGGCCATTTGCCTGTGGATGTTACACAGTTGTAGCGTTTGTATGAAAACCAAGATATCTTCTTAAAGCTTGAAAAAGTTGGCTATCAAATTGCCGACCTTGGTCAGATGTTATGCAATTTGGAATTCCAAAGCATGAAAACCAAGTATAAATCAAAGCTTTAGCAATAGATTCTGCTGATTGATCTTCTAACGGTACCCGCTTCGATCCTATCGTGTATAACGATCGATGATGGTTAGAAGATATTTGAATCCTTGTACAAGGAGGTAGCAGGGACCCAACCAGATCTATGTTTAAATGCTGGAATCTGTGTGGAGGTACTTTGAATTTCTCCCAAAGATGAACTTTAGATCTTTGGCAAGATAAGATAAACATGCTCTAGTCCATAGTTGGCAGCCCTTATTCATATTGGGACCATATGAAACGTTATGTTATCAACTTTATTGTGGATCTTATTCCAGGATGACATAAATTATGGATTGAATGAAAATATTTGCAGGGATGTATGGTCGATTATAATTTGTAGAAGTATCACAGTAAATTTTCTTGTCGCTGTCTGGCATAGGGAATCTGTAGGACCTTTAAGTTTGGGTTGTTTTTCAGTATCTCCAAATCTTCATCTTCTTGACAGTCTACTATAGTTTGTAAGTCTATTGCAGATGGTACAGAAAATGGTGTCTAAGCGAGAGAGAGCATCAGCACTGGTAATTTCATCGCTTTGTATGAATCGGATATCGGTTGAGAACTGGCCAATATATGACAGTTGCCTAGCTTGCCATGGTGAAGCATTTTCCAAATTTTGCTGGAAGGCAAATGTTAGTGGTTTGTGATCTGTGTGTATTGCAAAAGGTCGCCCTTCTAAAATGTATTTGAAATGTTTCACTGCTGTATAGTTCTCTGTCATAGGCATTACATTTTTGTTGTGCTGGTGTCAAATTTCGAGAAGAAAAACTTAAGCGTTGCTTTTCATTGTTCAAAATCTGATGTAAAACGGCTCTAATGGCAGTATTGGAAACGTCAGTTGTTAGCGATATTTAAGCCTTTTTGGATGGGTGAGTTAAGTATGTGGCATGAATAAGTGTATCTTTTAAAATCTGGGAGGCATTTCTTGTTTCTGTTGTCCAGATTATGTCTTTTCCGCAGTTCTTTTTTATACCACTGAACAATGTTGTTAAAGGTTGTTGCAGTTTTGCGCAATTTGGTATGAATCTGTAATAAAAATTCACCATACCTAAAAATCGTATTAAACTAGTAAATAACTTTGGTTCTGGGAAATTTTTGATGGCATCAACTTTCATTGAAAGAGGTTTAAGTCCTTCAGCTGACACTTCATATTCGGGGAATGCAAGTTTTGTTTGACCAAATTTACACTTTACTGCATTAATACACAGACCATATTCAATTAATCTATCGAGGACTGCTCTTATATGTTGTCGATGAGATTCTTCATCTTGAGAGGCTATTAGAATGTTATCCAAATAGCAAAACACGAATTCTAATCCATTCAACACACTCTTCATGGAACGTTTGGGCCGCATTTCATAGGCCGAACATCATGAATGGAAACTCAAATATGCTAAAGGGATTGAGAATGGCCGTTTTCGGTATATCTTCTTCGCGAACCGCAATTTGTTAGTACACTTTAATGAGGTCTATGGATGAGAAAACTCTTTTTCCAACTAAAATGGAACTTCAATCTGTTAAAAATGGGAGAGAGTATCTATCAGGAATCGTGGCGTTGTTTAACTCTCGATAGTCTCCGCAATCTCCAATCACCTGATTTTTTTTAAAGCGAGATGTAGTTGGCTTGACCAGTTGTTTTTTGGATGGCCTGCATAAACCCATTTAGAGCATAAATTCAAACTCCTTTTTAACCGCTTTGAGTTTTTCAGCTGATAGTCTCCTAGTTTTAGCAAAAACTGGTGGACCTCTGGTTTCAATATAATGTTCGATGTTATAATTTTTAACTTTATTATTAACTACATTCAGTTTTAACAAATTCGGAAAATCATTAATGATACCTCTATATGAATCATTTACAGCATTTAATATTGGAATATTATTATTATTATTTTTAAAACAAGGAGTTCTGTTGGTTGTTAACACTCTCTTGATTTGGATTGGTTATGACAATACGACTGTGATGTTGCTTAGATAAAGCAGAAACTTGTAAGTTCACTAACCTCTTTTTGTAAACTTTCAATCACTTCTGTTTTTACCATTATGGATGAAGCAGCAGCTATTTAGGGGGAGTAACAGGGCTTAATTCCCTAATCTTATCCGCCATTGTAGCCACTTTTGATAAGTCTTCACCACTAACAGATATAATGCTATGCATATTAACAGGTAAACGTTGTCACCACAATGTTTTTAGGAAAGTATCTGTTACTTTATCGCCCGCCAAATTACGCATCTCGCATCATCTACATATTTTGTTTGATCTGCCTTTATTTTTGCATTTCTAAATTGTGCTTCTAGTTGAATAAACCATATTTTAGGATCTGGCTTCCAAAAAGGAGGAACTTTAAGCTTACCTTGGCGACAGACGCAGTTGTTGCTTTAATTTCGGTTTCCTCGTCGTCAGTCATTGTAGAATTCGATCACGTCCGACTCACCAGTGAAGTGTCTCGTATGCAAATGTAGGAAAGAAACACTTCCCTGACTCCAATAGAATCAGTGCGATGCATACATATTTTGACATACATTTTGTTCTAACATACATATTTTGACAAAATCATACTTTTTCTTAAATAGCATATTGGTTTTTTCCTATATTTCGATTCTGTGATTGATCTTGACAAAAATACTGAACTTCATAAAATTTAATGGGAAACTTGTAATTGCACTTTTTTACTTGCACTAAGAATAATTTATTTGGCATACTTCTCAATTTATGGTAACCTAATCCTCTCCCTTTCACTCAGCACTGGCAGAAGGGAAAAAAAAAAGCATTATTTCTCCTTGCTTGTAGATATTTTTACTTTACTAAACTTTTAATCAGTTCTTCTGGGATTTTTTTTTCATTTTAATTATTTGAGTTTCATAGTTGAATTATATTTCTTCAAATATTTTTTTTTTTTTTAGTTTCTACAGTCAAAAGTCGTTAATCCGGACTCGTTGGGACTTCGGCGATTCCGGATTATCGATTTTTCCGGATTATAGATCATCAGTTTAAATCTCGTAAGATGGCATGCGAAATTCTAAAATTAAAAATATGAAACCGTAATTTATGAAATAAAGAACAATTATGATTTAAAGGGTATCAAAATTTACAAAGAAAAGCTTAATATTTATTTGTTTACTTTATTAAACATTCTTTCAATGTAAGTTGTTTAAGTTGCTTCGTTTTATGTGATAATACTTTTTTCTTTAATTCTATAAACAGACATAATTTTCTTGTTCAGTTACAAAGTTTCCGCTGTTCAAGTCCCGTAATTGCTGTGCCGAAATAACGACTAACTTGTCAATCGAATTTTTTTCGTTTTCACTAACCTCTCTGTCACCTTCTTCATGTCTTTATCCATTTTTTGCAGCAATTCCACTTTTTGTTTGATGGAGATCGAAACAAACTTTCGTTTTGTAGATCCTTTGGGAGCTCCAACATTGGAAATTCTATTTGACATAATCAAAAGTTCCAAGTTTACTTTTATAAAATTGCTCTTACAGTCTGCCAAAAATAATAAGCCGGATCCAATTCGAAGATTAAGGAACAACACAATCATCAATCAACATTAACTGAAATAGATAATTAGATAATTTTAGCTTATACTGTCCGTTATACATAAAACGTGCACGCGAAAACGTATTCTGCGCTTGCGCACACGCACATGTGCAGTCGTAAAGGTCTTACGCACACATGTAAACGCCTATGCGCATGTATCAACGCGGCGCATGCGCAGAAAGTTTTTAGCTTTGAGGTCTGGGTTATAGATCATTTCGGATTATGGGTGTCCGAATTAACGACTTTTGACTGTATTTATTCATTCAAAATGTACTTTAAAATATATTTATAGTAATAATGAATGTTTTTAAAATTTATTTATTTGAACTGCATCTCTTTCAAAAGAGTATTTTGTGACCCAGTATACAACGCAATGCATTTGAAAACTGCATTTATTGAAAGAGAAAATACAATTAGAGCACAGTTTCTACGTCTTTCATTGAACCATTCTGGAAGACTGCATAAATAGGCGAAGGATATATTATCAACATTTTGATTTAGGAGGAGATGCATTTATTGCTTTACTTAATTTTCTAATGTTTCATAATTGGGCCATGTATGGCAAAACATTCTGTGGCATAACGTAAATTTAAACAGCCATTCAGTGAAAAACTGTCGCCTTGCGCATTCACCTCTGATGCTATTCCTTGTATCTTTTTGATTAGCAGAGCCCCATTTGCTGAAATATTTGATGTACTGTACTAAATGAAAAACTTTAGCAAAATATAGTTTAAGCCTCCTGGTATTTTACTTTGAACATGCATCTTCTTTGAAGCAGATTTTGTGCAAACTGTTGTTCTTTCTTTAATTTACTTTCTTCAGAAATATTTGTTATCAATGCTGATGCATGAGTATTGTTTTTTACGGTTGTTTTTTTATAAATTTTGTGTTACAATTCATTTTAAATTTCAGTTGTACTTTTCATGGAGATAGCATTTTTTCTAGACATTTTAGCTGCAAATGAAGTAAAACACTGAGGACAAATAATTGAGTTAAAACATATTTACCAAATCATAGAGAAACAAGGAGTCTCCCAAACATTTCTAGTCAACAGAATCCAGTGTTCTATCCTACCTAGTGATTCAATCCTAATATTGTATGAAAATAATCTAAATCGTATTTGCTTTAATTTTTCCTGTTCCATTTGATGATTAAACCCTCATTTTTTTACAAGTGGCCCTGAAAGTTCCTTAATTTTCATATAAAGAAATGAGTATGAGCCATATAACTGTTAAATCATTTTTTCCCATGCTTTATGTTTATTAATTGTATTTTGATAGGCTATCAAGTATATGGAGAAGTTATTGCTGCAGCATTAGGTGTTGATGGTTCTCATTATTTCAGTAAGTGTTGGCAGCATGCTGCAGCTTATGTGATGTCTCCTCCCCTTCGACCAGAGCGTGACACTTCAACAAATTTGATGAAATTGTTGTCATGGTAAGTATTCATGTTTTTAATTCTGACATAGATTTCTTGTATATCCTATGAAATATAATTCTCTCGCCATCATTTCCCATCATGGGCCAAATGGGTGTAACTGCTGAACATCAATATTTCAATCCTAGGATTTGTTCCTATAATAATGGGCTGGATACATGGTCATTTTCATGTATGTAATGCACATATGGGCTGGGTTTGCTTAAACTGCCCTCTGCTAATTGTTTTTAAGAAACATATAACTTGTAAATTAATTCCTGTAATCTAATTTTTTTAATTTTTGTTTATTATTTGGCCAACTGTGAAAAAAAGGACAAAACGTAATGCCTAATTTAATTAGCGTGTGAATTTAATCTCTAAATATAGCATTTATACTGCTCATGGTGATAAAGGTTATTAAAAGCAACATGTATTTTCTCCAAGTTCTAAACAAGGTAGTGGCAAAAAAAAAAAATTGAAAGAAAGTAGAAATTGTTTTTCCATGTAGAGAGAAATGGACATTATAAAAAAAATAAATGCTCATTTTAACTTTTGATTGAACATAATTTTCTCATTTCCCGTTTTAGCCATTTCAGACTTTTAAAAATTTTATTTCCTGATTCTGCCGTGACCCACAGAAGAACAGAGGCACGTAAGTAAGTACACAAAAAGGGCTGCAGTTCTTAAAATGTTCGTAAAAGGTATTGTCACCGTTTCTATTTTAAATATTGATGGCAGTATCGATGCTACAAATAGATAATATCCCTTAAATTTTGACATAGTGTAGCAAAGAAAAATGATAACGAACTCTTATTTATGTCTTTCTGCGTACTGTAAAGCACTGGAAGAAGACATATCACTTCCCTCCAAGGAAATAAAACTCCAAATAAATCAGCTGCTCACATACTGTCTGCAGAGAATTGTTTTAAGTTTTCAAAGTTACTACAGCTTATGCCTTTTACAAACCATCGAGGCTTCCTGTCCCAAGCAGCACAGAAGAATGGAAATTAGGATCTGAACTTATTAATAAAAGTAAAGATATCTTGTATGTGTATCGCAGTGAGCATACTAATGGATCCTGTGAAGGAAAAGATAAGGGAATAATTATTACATATTTGATTTTTATTGAAAATATTCAGGCAGTGGAGAAGAGTTTTGTGAGTGTGTAGAAATTGTATATAAAGGTTTAGAACTGCACATATTATAACATTTCCTTTAGACATTACAATGTTGAAAATGATTTTTAAATAATTTCTTCATTTAATAAAGTATTTGAGAAAATTTAAAAGTATATATGAATATCAAGTTGTATCAGTCATCTATAATTAGACTGAGCAAAAAATTAAATGGCTCAAGATACAAATGTTGTTAACTGATATTTATTTTAAGAGAAAAATTCAAAAAGGAAACACAGCTTCAAATTTGTGCATCAAATTTTGAAAGAAAATGCAGTGGTAATTTCTTTTCTTGAATCTCAAAAAATTTTGACAACAAAATAATGAAGGCAGTATTGCCTTCTCTAATCAAATAATAATGAAGGAAAGTCAATTACACAATATTATAATGAAATACTGCCAAATTACACCTATTTTTTAAAAATATTGGTTTTCTTTTTTATTTTAAATTAATTGCCAGTATGTTACTTTTTATACCTAAACTAAGAAGAGATATTGTTAAATTTTAGACAAAATTGTTAGGTTAACTTCAATCAAATTTGAAAACCAATTTCATAAAACTATTAGTAATTCTGAAACAGATGTAAAAACAGTGTGATAGTTTGTTCATTTATGTTCAATACTCGAAAAGCAAGTGAATATTTATCAGTTGATGGAAAACAGAATTGTATTTAAGAAATGTCTAGTTAAAGGAAGTGAAGTAAAATTACTTTTTAATTTACTTTGGGTTTGCATGCAAGTATAAAGTAAGCACATTTCTTTTCAGTGACTGAAACTTGCAGAAAGCTTCCTTTCTAAAACATATTAAGAACTTTTTTTTTCCATATTAATTGTATGATGAATATATTTCGGTCCATTATCACTCAGCATCAGCACGTTCGTTGCTAACCTTGCATTGATATGTGATGGGATGGCACTAGCTGATGGTTAACCATGCACCAGTGTGCAGTGAGGATATAACACTTTTCACATTAGTTAGCATTGAGCCTGAGGTGTGTATTGTTGTAAAAGCATGATAGTAAAGGAATTAAATTAGAATTTTTTTTAATTTAGATTTTTCATGTAAATTTTTTCAAAATTTTCTCTTAATATGGGCAGCATAAACGGCAATTTAGCAGGGTATTTTTATCCTAAATAAGTAAGATACGAGTACAAAAGACGATTAGGAGATGAACTTTCAAAATATTTTGAGGGCAAAATTTATTAGATTAGGGTATGAGAGAACTTAATTTGTTAGGGTTCAGATTACCTGGTTATTAAATATTCAAAATTAACAATCTGCTGTATTACATGAATTTAACGCCATTGCCTTCACGGCATCAAACGGGACACATGCTGTCTATTACACTGTATTGTCAAGGACACTGTGCATCGATAAATGTTTTAATTCCTCAGATGTAAGGGCTAAAATAGCCAAAGAAAAGCAACTAACTTCACCTTTTAGGGGGAATGAAAAATTCGGCATGAAAACGGTTTGTCTCTAATGTGATTCCCCGCGTGAAGAAGATAACATGCCTCATACTGATGGTCTGATATACATGAAGAAAATGATGCAGAAATTTCAGCAGAGCATGAATCTGTTAAGCTAGGAAATATAATTAGTGAAGATAAATCAACATAGTTAGCTTAGTTCTTTCCTTAGTGTGGCTTCTGGTGAAGTTTTATGTACCTAGCCTGGCAATGAACACATTAAATGAAATTCTGGTTTTGTGTATTAAAGTAGGATGGCATAAAGTTCAAGATTAAAGAAAATGAATGGTTTGATTACATAAAATGTGCCTTGTTGAGATGTTTATCTTTTTATTAACAACTCATTCAAATACGTTTTTTTTTTTTTTTTTTTTTTTTTTTTTTTTTTTTTTTTTAAAATTATGATCCAGTTTTGGTATTCAAACTCTTAAAGCATAATTCTTAAGCACATCCTGACCAAAATATGCAGGCAGATTAAAAAAACCATTCAAAAACGTTCATTGAACTGAACTTGAGATTATGTAGCATGCTGTTTAGAAATCTCTGGATTCTTAATTTACATCCATTATTAATTTTTAAATATATAAGCATTTTAGGTAATGAATTGAAAGAATATTGATTATATTATCTCCTAAGATTAATTTTAGTAGAATTATCTTAAAAGAGTGAATCCATACTTAGTAAGTTCAATTTCAAAAAATTTTTTTAAAGTAACTTGAATGTAAATTGTTAAAAGTGTTTAACAGGGACTTGAATTAAATTATGAATAACAAAATTTCAATTGTAAAAAGAAATAAACTAAAAAGTAAGTAATTAAATTAAATGCAAGTAATCATTGCTATTGATCGGAAATTAGTTGACTTTTCAAGGGGAACAAACCAACTCCCGTTCAATGAACAATAATTAAGAAATAAATACGAAGGTGTTTCGTCTTTTACTCGAGCAATAAGGCGATGTCAAACCGGCAATTCAAGCTAGGCCAAACATTTCCGTGAATAGATGGAACCAAGTATCAATGCAGAGAACCAAAGAACTCATTCCGATTAAGCATTTTAGCTAATTCAACTTTGAGTGAAAAGCAATTTCTGCATATATATATATATAAGCTTCTTTTTGATTTAAATTATTTGTTGATGTCCCTTGCATATGAATATTTTAATTAATATGTCTAAATATTCATAGTAAAGTGTTAGGTTCAGTGGTATTTCTGTTGCGTAATAAAATGAAAATAATGCTTAACTGAATGTGCATGTAATTTGTAAATATATATTTTTTTAGTCCAAAGGGGCAATTTGCGTAGAAGGACTATTAATTTCGTTTTGGCATTTTGCATTGATTCACTACAAGTGTTGTTTCTCTTTTCAAATTATTGCCACCAAATATTATCGCTTTGTATTTATTATATTTAAAGAAATTAAATAATGAAAAATCTGCATAAATGTATTCATGTTTCTCACATTGTAATAAAACAATGGTACCTAGAGCCATCCAATTTTGAATAACATAATCCTTCTGCAAATATGAGCATCTGGAAGCCCTTATTTTAAATTTGTTTTATTATCGATTTCATATTTTGTAAAACTTTAAAGAATTTTCGATTAACAAACTCAAGTGAGTAACGGCAACACTCTATGGGGGAGGGGAGAAACCCTTTTTATTTCCAACGCACATGACTGTGTATCAGAAATTCTAAAGATATGCTCATTTTAAAATTATTTTGTGATATTGCTCTTGGACTGAATTTGGTGGTAAACATGATATTTAATAAATAAAGGTAACACACAAAATGTTATGTCTTTTTGGACGTAATTTAAAATCTGAAATCTTTCAGATTTTTTTAAATACTTTTTATGTTTACAGCTTATCCTGTGATAAATTTACTGTTTTCATTATAGTTAATTAAAAAATAAAAATTTTACATCATGAGCACTTTCTTAAAGTTGCGAAAATGCTTTTCACACATTAACTGCTGTAAAGATTTTTCTATGCATTGAAGTCTATGTGTTTGCTTTCCAAATTTGAAGTTTTTTGGCAATAATTTTGTTGAAAAGTGTACAGGGGAAAGGAAAAAAGTAAATTGAATTTTTATGATAGAAAACATAACTTTTTTTTAATTAATATATATTTTCTAAATCATGTTTACTAGTTATAAAATTTCAAACTGGAACTAAAATTCATCAGATTGTTTTGTAGTCCATCTCATTGCTGTGAAGACATACTTTCAAAGAATGAACGGAGTAAGAGCATTAATGTTTGGCCAGTGTATTTTCTTATTCAGTTACTTTAGTATATTTTTTTGCATAGTTCAATATTTTAAAAATATTTTTCTTTGGAAGGCATAATGATATACCGTAAAAACTTGAGATCTGGAATTGT